TTTGTTTTGTTTTGTTTTGTTTTGTTTTGTTTTGTTTTGTTTTGTTTTGTTTTGTTTTTCAGTGATTGTTGAAACCAGTAAATATTTCAAACATTTTAGCTCATTGAGCTTCTGGTTTAATTCAAGTGTTTTTCTACTTTGTTCATAAAACAATGTTAATAATTTTGCCATTATTATAGAGATGATGTATCCCACAAATGTCCTGTTTAATCAAAAGATGCTGAATTTTAGTCTAAATAAAAGTTCAGCCTAAACCATAAAAAGCTATAAATGTTTTGGGGGGATTTTGAAAACCAACATCCTCAGAGGAAAGACAGATGTCAGACGCTCTCCCAGACAGACAGACATTTGAATCAATCAATATCCTTGTCATTAAGTAAAGTCTCCTTCAAGTTCACACGTTCTCAGGGGCGTCTGCAGCCGGCTGCTCATTTTGTCCGGGGGAACTCCGCTGACCCCTGAGCCACAGCCAGGGATTGTCCTCATGCAAATCAGGAGAGGGAACCAATTCATCGTCGCACAATTCGATTAGACATCTGCATATTGAGCATCTGCACACAACAAAAATCTGCCAATATCCACCCTCCATCCCCCCACCGGCCCCCGGTGGGGTAAGCACCCCGCGACCCCGGGGGCAGCCCTCTGTCCCTGCCCCACACCCACCTCCCCTTGTTGCCCCATGTCGTCCCCTCCTGACCCTGTCAGACCCGGCTACAATACCTGACCCCGCCCCAAAGACGAGACGAGTGGAGTTCAAGGTAAATGTTCCATTTTCTGCGTCCGTCTGCCCGGCGTGGCCCCTGCCTGGCCCCTGCCCGGCCCCTGGCCACTAATCACATGCACCGCTCTTTTTCCACACCTTTTCACCCAAACACACAGACACYCAAAATGTTTTTTTTCACAACAACTTTTTAAAAATGTCCTAATGGTCTTCCTGGAAAATAAAGGTTGTCCTTTGTTTGGAGGGCCTCCATTGTCTAAGTGGTCCTCATTCAGAAATCTTTGCCACTCAGAGGATTTCCCTCCCTTTTTTTAAAACTGCTCTTTATTGATTCATCAGAMTTTCTTTATAATGTTTCAAAGAGACGGTAAACATGTCAAAAGTTTTAAAGGTACATGTTTGGCCACAGAAAATACAAGGTTAAGCTGTGCTGGAAATATAAAATACAAAAAAACTAAATAATCAACGTATTTGATCCTAAAATGTACCATCAATGTTCAAATTAAAAGAGATTTAAACATACTGGCCCTATCAGATTTATTATTTATCATTTGATTCTAATTTTTTTAGGAAGATTCTCACTGTAGCCATTTATAAGCGTTTATGTGTGGGGGTTTTTTTACTTCATAATTAAACAATGGACTCAAAACCTGACAGCTGGGAGATTTACTGAACTGTCATATTATTTGGTTTGGACAGCCTTACATTCTGGGTCTTTCTCTGAGAAAGTCATAATTATATTTCCTAGTAGCAGGACACAGGATARAACTCAAAAAGACAATATTTTTACAGATGAGCAGGTTTTATAACACTGGCAGATATTCAGACTCTATAGGTTTCTCTGGTAACATTTTGTGTCCAATCCTGGTCCTTGAGGACAATGTCTTGCATGTTTCAAATGTTTTTCTGCTCCGACACACAAAACATGTTCTGATTATTATTTTATTCACAAAATGTACCRTATTACTCCATTCATGTTGGTAGTTTAACCTGTTTTATTAAACTTGTAAATACCGGTAAGTTATTCTTCAGACTTCATTCATCCTTCAGATGTTTTTGAAATGTGTGTCTAATAATAAAATAAATTAAATGATCAGATGAATAGAAAAAGATAATTACTGCATCRTTCCAAAAACCTTTTTAATTTCTGACCCACAAAATGAAATTGACATCATTTCATTTGTTGACTGATTTCTACAGAAATGTTCAATAATCCTGTTAAACAAGAGCAAAATGACAACATAAACATCTTAACATTGACAACGTGGGAACTGATGTAAGGTCAAAAAAAGCATACAGTTCAAAGTTTAAAACTAGGGATGCACCAATATGAAAATTTCAGCCAATGTTGATATCTGATAATATTATTGGTGTTATGGCCAATAACCGATATTATATAAACACAAATTATTTATACTGTATATGCACAAATACACTGTTGTTTTCCGATACTGTAAAACATGACCAGACTGCTAACATGGCTCTGCTTCAGTTGTTTCTGGCTGCACAGCATCACTATCATGATCAAACAGATACCGACCGACCAACCATCTCCCCTCCCAAAACAGAATCACAAAGCTAAAAAGTAGGAAATCAAAATCGGACATTAATATCAGCCCAGTTTTACAGATATTCTTAAAAAATGATCAAAAATGACCAATGCTAATGCCACTATATCATGCATCCATTTGGCTGCTCACTTAGGCTGACTTGTTTTTTCATGGCCAACATCTGAACATCTCTGGTTAAACATTCAAATGGTGAGAAATCCATAGAGTGAGCAAACTTGAGCTTTTAGAATGAGATCATCTTTAATAAAGATGGTGTGAGGGTCTTTTAGGATCATCGCAAGATGTCTGGATGCTGCAGCTACTGCTAAAGGTGCTTTAACATGGAGCACAACAAAACTTGAAATTTAAGWAGAAATCATCGTTCTGAATTGTAATAATGAACAAAACATTCCATCCATCCATGCTTCTGTCATTGTGCAGAACGTGCACGTGTTGATCTGTTGCTTGTCTGTTCATATCTGCCTCTGATGACTTTAAACCTCAGCTTTCTTGTTTTTGGCAGGAAATGAGTGTCAGCAGCTCTTGGTCGTAAAACTGCTCACTGCTCGTGGTCCCGGTGTGCTGAGAGAGGACAGAGAATCTCTGTGTCACCTCCTGGTGACACGGGATGTGAGGAGA